CTCTGCGCCACATCTAACACGGGCTTCGGTGTGTATATTATATATACATATCTACATTGCACTTTTTTTGACGCTAGATTTTATCAATTTTTAATGTATAACGGCACACACCCACCCACCCATAAAACATACAAAAAAGGGAAACCCCGAAGCGAGTTGGCCATAAAATGAAAAAAGAAAACCTCAAACGCAGGCGCCTATGTGTATAATACTCCCCGTCGGGCCGGGCCTAGTTTTTTAGTTTTTTTTTTTTTTTTTTGTTGTCTGTGCTATAAATGTATACAAGCTCCGTACGGTCGCGGCAATCCGTATATATATACCAAAAGGATCGTTTTTCCTGTCCTCGCTGCCCCGTTACACGCGAAAGGCGACAATGGGGGAATAAACGAGACACCTTCCCCGTTTAAACGGGGACGCTCTCTCTCTTTCTTTCTCCGGTGAGAGAGTGTCGTTTTATAAATGAGCGCTGCACCGCGGCTAAATATCCCGAGCTTGCGAAACTCGGGTGTATGTATGTGTATAGAGTGTGCGCGCGTGTTTGTGTATATTATATTGACTCTTTCTCCCCGATGATGGGCTAAACTGCGGCTTCTGTTTCGCTCGTTTGACACACTTTTTGCCGCCGGTGTATCTACCTACTCGGCACAGCTTATTATTAACATATCTTAATATTATTTTCCAACGGCCCGTCTCGGCCTTCGCAGCGACAGTATACGAACGCACACTCCTATATACTTAATACTGATTGTTTCACAATATTTGTTTTCTTATATGTTTTTTATCTACACTTGCTTCATTTCCGTAAGGGATTGTTATTATAATAATACAAGCGAAGCGGCATTGTACAGCTCACCAAAAAGCGTTGGTGCCCATCCAACGCGATAATGGATCTCTGGGAATCTATTATTAGGAAAAAAAAATTTTTCTAGATACCAAGCTCTCGTCAATAATGACCACATCACCTGTTGCCTGCTACTTCCGTGCAAGCTTTGTATGATTATCCTCTTGTAGTCGCGCGTCTCTTTCTCTCTCTTGCTCTTGGAGTTTTTTTATTTTTTTTTTTTTTTTCTCATATGCTGATATTATATAATACACTCGTCTCGAGCAGCTCGAGACGCGACTAATGAATCATGCGACCTGCAGGTCTCTCGTTATCAAAGTGCCTGGTGTTACATGTAGACGTATTAAAAAAAATCACGGGCTCGAGTGTGCTGGAGCACTAGCAGAGACGTGCAATGCATATAGTATGATTACGTGACAGCACGTATGTATGTAAAAATGCCTCTGACGGAGATAAAGAGACAAATAAATTCACCGCGTTGCCGATTGTAATGATACTACTTATTATTCTCTTGGTAAAATTTTCGGGAGCCACAATAACCCAATACGTATACCAGAAAGTGCAGGCAACAAGCATCATTGTTGTTGTTTGCCTTTAAAGCTTATATTCCCGACTGAATGGAACTCGCAACATTTATAGTATATACTGCGTTGTGGATGGGCATTATTACCGACTCCATGCACGCGAGTAAGCGCGACGAGGGCGAGCATCCAGTGCATATATCCACACGGGCGCGCGATACACCGGCGTGTGTCCGCCAACTTGTAATTTAATAGACCGGCATCCTCGGGTGAAATAGTCTGCTCCCGCATCGATGAGTTCAACCAGCTAATGAAATTCCCGCAGCGGTCTCACGGGGCCCGTCCTTGTATGCAATCGTATACAACAGCGACGCCGTACATGATACCATGTGGATATTTTAGCCGCTTAACCGCGTAATGATCCATACGTGTGTACAAGAGTCGGTTGGCTCGTTCGCGTGGGTGGCTCCGATGGATCGATTTTTTGCGTCTCGGAGGGGCGAAATTTTTACTCCCGCGGATTATGCTCACGCGGTATATATACGTGGTGTTCGCGCGGGTGCAGCGCGCGATGCTTTTACGACCTATACTGTCGGATTTCCGCTTGATGGTGTGTGTGTGTGTATGTACCTATAATCGCGTGGGCTATTGAAAAAGGAAAAAAAAAAAAAAAAAAAAAAAAAAAAAAAAAAAAAAAAAA